TCTACACACCCACACCCACACACCTCTGTTCTCCATGCAGGCAAGGTATTATTGGAGTTCAAGGCAAAAACATTCGAGGGTGCCAAGAAGGACATGTGAGGGACAGGGTCTTAGTGGGGAGGGCATTGGGTGGGGGGAAGACCAGATAGAGAAACTTGGGAGGACTGCATTGGGACCCTGTCCCTGCAGTCCCCCACCCCAATATGTAAGATTTAAAGACACCATAATCTCACATTGAAATTACGTCATGGCCTAATTTGATACGTGCACATTGCATGGTTAGTTGTACTTGTGTTAGGCAAAATAATAGTAATTCAGGATTTCCCATGTATCTTTTAGAACGGAAATGCACATGTATATACTTTTGCATTTTCAAAGTGAAGGAAGTACGGGACTTTGGACCTTCATCCCCTTCAACCTTACTGAAGACATTCTCTGTAAAAAACCCAATACTTCATTTGTAGTTCCGGTTAGAAAGTGAGGCCATCTGTGTCCCATATAATACCCCAAACTGCTTTAAACAACAATATACACTAATGGTTGGATTATGGATTATGTATCTGAATTACGGGACGTGGGTGGCGCTGTGGGCTAAACCACTGCGCCTAGGACTTGCCGATCGGATGGTCGGCGGTTCGAATCCCCGTGACAGGGTGAGTTCCCATTGCTCGGTCCCTGCTCCTGCCCACCTAGCAGTTCGAAAGCACCTCAAAGTGCAAGTAGATAAATAGGGACCGCTCTCCGACGGGAAGGTAAACGGCGTTTCCGTGTGCTGCTCTGCTTCGACAGTAGCAGCTTAGTCACGCTGGCCACGTGACCCGGAAGCTGTCTGTGGACAAGCGCCAGCTCCCGGCCTCTTGAGCGAGAGTCGGTCACGACTGGACCGTAAGGTCAGGGGTCCTTTACCTTATGTATCTGAATTGCATTCCACTGTGATGCTATGATCCACTGCACTTAAGTTGTGTTAATCTGTATGTAAAATAGACATTTCTAAATGTTCACATCTGGAAACATTTAAATAGGGTTGTATCCTATAAAGTCTTTTTGCTGGTGCTGGAACTTCCACTTGTGTAACAGAACTTCCTCCCGCCAATCTCCGTGTGCTTCCCAAATCTCTTTTGGGGAGTTCCCTTGATCCTATGGAGCATATTAGAGAAGAGGGAGGGGAAATCTCACGGTGGGAACAAGTCCTGGTGGGAACAGGATGACTTGGATACAATCCACAGTTCTTGAGCCATACCACTAAAAGCAGTAAATTCTTCCCATGCGGTTTATTGCATATCATTCCAGAACATGATTTTTGGAAGCGTCTATATCTCGAGAGTAGGGAATAGGTGATAAGACCTGCAGCCATCATATAGTCTGTGTGTCAAAAATTTGTTACGTTACTAACAGTGCCATCCAATATATATCTACTCAGAATATTTTTATACCCACTGAAATTAAATGGGATTTATTCTCTAGAGAGTGGGTATAAAACTGCAGCCTGGTGGAACTCTTTACTGTATGTTTTGATATAGTTATTTGAAGCACCCCAACCAGCATTCTGTGCAAACTTACTTTATATTAACAGCATTTATGCAAATCTCACAAGAAACCTCTAAATTTCAGTTGTTAAGAGATTATAGTTACCTTGTTCTGAACGTATCTAGTCTTACAAGTTTGTCATAATACATGTCAGCGCATGCATGCTCAAACTTCAAGCAGACACATTTGGGCAGCTCAAACTGGTGCATTATTAATTTCTACAGACACTACGCTTGAGAGTGGCTTGTGCCAAAATGAAACATTGGTTCATATGCTGCCTCCTCTTCTGGACATGTGGATGGATGGTGCAGGGGTGACCGAAACTAAGTTTGGGGTGCACAATCCCAATTTTGTTCATTTATGCATGTTTTGGGTGTTCTTGGCAATACCTGCAAGTGTGTTGCACCCAGAGCCGGGCCTGATACACTGCTGAGGTGTCTTACAGATGCAACTCCCCTGGAGTTTTGGATTCATGATGTGGGATGGCCCAAGTTTATCATGAGGCATAAATCCCCTCTTGTGTATTGAATTCTAATCTTAAGATTGTAAACTTGCAGGGAGGTTCTCAGTTCTATATTCTATACAGCCTCTTATCACGCTCCCTCCCTCAAGCACTTAAGAATGAATGAACATGTGGAGCCTGCAACAAGTGGAATTTGTTGCAGTGGAAAGTGTTGCTGTCTAGGGTTCCAGCCGTGCCTCTTCTCAGATACCCCATTCCGTCCCATTCATTTTCCACAAGTCAGACAGCATCCTGTGGCTACTGTCCATGCTCAGAGCTTTATTAAGTCCCTCATTTTTTTATATATTTTTGCAAGCCATGGGATTTCCCCAAGCTGGCTGATATGCCTTTCTTCAGCATGGGTGATGACATTTTACTGGACAGGGATCCACACTCAGAAAATGAGGTTGCTTTTAACATACGGGATTACAGGCAACCTCCCATTTACACACTTTCAATATGTGCACGGCCGTGCATATGTGCATTGGACTGAACCTGGAAGCGACCAAAAAACATCACAAAAAGGGATGGGGGTGGAATGGGGTGTTTGCAGGCTTTTCCAATGGCATTTCAAATATACACTATTTCACTTAAACGTGTGGTGCCTTGGAACATAACCCTTGCATAAATGGGGAGTTGCCTGTATTATAATTTGTTACCTGCACTCAGATTGTTAACGTTGATCATACCAACCAAGCTACAGAACATAAAAGCAGACTTTGTGATCTTCAGCTATGCAAACTTCTGACACAATGTTGCCTTATGATGCATGTCCTTTTACAAATAACCATGCCAACAGTATATAAACTAAATGCAAAAAATGACTAAACATCAGTTTTTCTGCTCTCTCCAAGCAAGTGGTCATTTCCGTTGTAAACATTCTTAGGGATTAGGATGTAGGAAGATAGGCACGAAGGATTAAACTAATATTTTGTTAGTACTCAGCTATAACAGAGACAAGGCAGGTCAAATTCCAGCAACGAGAGCTGGTCTAAGAGTAAAGCCGATCTCCATAGGAGAAATTGCTGTAGGTTCTCAAGTCTGTCTAGATGAAAGTAACAACTTTACACCCTTGCCTATTGCTTTAAATCATAGGATGTTTTCAGAAGAGTCATTTGTAAGGTGCAACATTAAAACAAACTGCCGCCTTTGATAGTTATCTCACATACTAATCCAACTTTTCCACTCAGCTAAATAACTTATCGATTGAAACACCCTGTAGAAATGAATTTCCCCAATTCAGTAGAGCTGATCAGTATAATGTGCTGCAAATGTTGCCCTTTTTTGTAATATCAGTGGATTGACATTGAAGAAATACATATAATCTCCAGCAAGAGGAATTCATATTATTGATAAATCTTCCAAAGGTATTCTGTGGGTATATTCAGATGACCCATTTTATCATCACATAGTTAGTTCTTGCAATTGCCATTCACTAGATTCATATGGGAAGGCTGCAAACCCATGCTTACAGAAGCCAAACTCTCAAACAAAATCCACTCCCTAGCCCTGCGGTCTTTAAGCAAGGTGACTCCCCACTGGGTATCAACATCAACAGGTCATTGTACAGTGATGCACTAAAACATAATGGAATTACTCTTCCTGATTTCACACTTGTGAAGACTGTAACCCTATGCACACCTTCATGGGAGTAAGCTCATGTGAGACTTGCTTTTGAGTAAACTTGCAGAGGATGGGGCTTACAAAAACTCTATGAGCAACATACTCTCACCAAATGTATTTTGGTCAATAAACAGTGACATGGGATGGGGGAACCTCCAATTGACTCTGAAGTCTTCAGACAGCAGTAACAGAATTTCCAGCTGATGAGGGTTAAGCAGCACTCGTCAGTGTTAAATACAACAAAGCAAGCTAAGTGGGTTTTAGAGACAACAGGAGGGAAATTCTAGCAGAACCTTCAGTCCATATTACTAGACACAAAGCCAAGCAGTAAAGTCTAGAGAGAGAAATAGCTTCATTTTATCACTATCCATTTTAAGTCATATTTTTAACTCCATTATTCTCTAGATAAATACCCAAGATACTCTACTTAATTATTGCTATCAAGTACACTGAGCCCCTCTCTGCTATGCAGAACTTTGGATCTATTTCCAGTGGTGCTAATGCATTTCTTTTCTACATTGGTTTGAACATGTCCAGATAAGTCTATTTTTCCGAACACATTCAGCTCCTCCACTCTTAGCGCCGTATTAGCACAGCAAGAAGGGAAGCCATGGAATGATAGCAGGGCTTTTAAAACTAGAAATTGGACTCTCTTCAACTGATTTAACTTATGACCTTCTCAGCTGTTGGATCAAGTTCTTCTAATAGGCATTTAGCCAAGGCATAAAGTAAAATGTGAGGAGAGGCAACTTGCTTTGCAGTCAATCTGTGCATGCTTAGCAGTCTGTAAGAAAGATTCTCCCATGACATTTGTCAGATTAAAGCCACTAAGACTAATAAAGTTACCTATCTACTCAAAGCATTAGAATGTATAAATTCTGTGGATTGTACAGCAACCCAGCAACTCAAAACAGCCTGGTATCAAACAGAGAAGAGACTCTTCCAAGAGTGGCAGGCAGAGAACAGCTTTCTAGTCTTCGTGCCCTTACCTAGATGGTAGTAGAACGTGATACCGCTTTGTGGTGAGCACCAAAACTTTCATTATTTATATATAAAATATCTGTGGACCTGCAGTGTGTTTGTAACTGAATAAAAAGCATTCTTCAGGATAAGATTGAAAATTGGATGGATTATATTCATTTACTTACAGAAGCAGAGCACAAGTCAGAAGTTGGAATACTGAAGCAAGAGGAGGTGTCTGTTCCAAACCATGTTTTAAAGCTTATCTTGAGAGTGCACAGAACAGTTTTCTTAAGCTTTGTAAGTTTTTGTCTTTGTCAGATGGAAAGGCCACCAAACCTTCTAGATACTCAATGAATTCTTTACCATTTTAAAGACGGACATGTTCTTAGTTAACATAAAGATTTTATTGCAAAAAAATTTAAAAGTGTACAAAAACTTCATTCTTTAGAAATGGTATTTCTAAAATTCAGAATTCTCTCAGGTCTGCCTATAGACATAAAGTTCGTAATTTGCTTTAAGTACAAATTCTAAGTACGGTTTGCATGTTAAGTGTTCAAGTTCATCTGCTTGCATTAAGTCTTTTACCCCAGGTAGATATTCGCTGAGCTGAATTCCTAAAACAGAAAGAAGTTATTAGCTACTGTAAACTGTAAACGTTGAGTGATCATTGAAATGTGTACCTACATTTCAGAATAACTTGTCTAGGCCTGGGATACAGTGATAATTTTTCCAAGCACTATCATCAATGGGTAAGTTTTATTTTCAAACCACATTTGGCAATTCCCTTCTGCCCTTAGCAAACCATGCCTTATTTTCAATTTTGCCTGCTGTGTTTATATCTTGACTACTAATGATATTAATGCCATTTGATGTAAATATATGTAAGCAGCAAACTCACAAAAACTTATTTCTGAGCATATTTCACACAATATGTACCTTCTTTGAACAGCTTTTGTAGAATTTTCACAAATATGCTGTCTTTAGATGCTTCAATTGGATCATCTTTGCCTTCTGAACTACACCAACTGTAACCAAAAATTAAAAGCTAGTACAAATAGAATATAAATTTTAAAAAACAAATATATACAGTATTAAATCAGAATCCCCGGTGTCACTTTGTGTGTATTTTGATTATTTGCAGTTATTGTGTATCCTTTACTCAATTTCACATCTTTCAAGGCGGTACAGTATTAAGAATGCTAAAATGTATACTCTACTTGACAGAGATTAAAGTAAAAAAAGAATAATTATATGTGCCTCACTATGGATAAAATTTTTGTTACAACTAATAAGCTGCACTTCCAAACACTGCAGGATATATACATAGAGGTGTTAGTACTGGGCTGTCCCCTGTAGTGGGATTAGCAAACAATTTTTCAGAGTGACCTATGCCACAGAAAGAGGCTTATCAAGTATTAGAAATGATGTGCAGTTTGCACAACAAGCTTTTTTATTTCAATATACCTTCCGATTCAGTGTTGTTGCATTATACAAACAGCATCCATGCCCCAAAACATTGTCAACGGAGGAAATGTCCTATTAGCACATTAACTCAACTATCGGCCTTAATCTGCCCTATAAGCAGGTTTTCAGAAGTGTCTCATTTGCAGGATGCTGGACCAAGAGAACTCTGAAATCATGTTTAGCGTTCCATTTCAATACAATCAATAAATCCATTTAGCATGTCTCTCAGTAAAGCATTTTTTAAAGCATTGTCAAAACCTTTGCAGAAAGAAGACCTTCCTTAATTTCCCTTGCCACTACCATTTACAATAAGAATTTCCTAGGTAGGTGAAAATGGATGCGTGAAACAATTAAGCATGCTGGGAAAAGGATCTATTTCCCTACAACTTCCTTTGCATTTCTATTCGCTACTTCACCTTCACGAGGAGGGCACAAAATGTAAGAGAGAAACACAGTCCACTACCATATTAGGAAGTCACCAAGTGTTCCCCACAAGCCTCAGGGTACTACCCAAGAATTCAGTTGCCATATATAGCTATGAAGCAGGGATGCATAAAGGATTATGCACAATTATGCACATTCCTGAAGAACAGGTAGTTCAAAGTGTCCAATGCAATGATTTGAAGATGCATCAAAACTCAAGATGACATATTCTCATGAATAAGGATTATTCTTGCATAGCTATTTTATCTAAAGCTCAATCAATTGGGCATATCTATTGAAATGCTAAACATGCTATTCAAATGAAGATCAGTTTCCAACAAATGTTTCGGCTGCCAACTTGGATATCAAACCTTGACAGATTTATATTTAACTTTGTTCGCTCAGAGTTTATATACTATTTGTGCATAGTGATCCCTGTTCAGTGAATCCTTAAATTGTTCTCAGTATAGTAGGAGAAATAATTAACTCCAAAATCCTAAACATTCCATGAAGTTAGAGAGGACTGACTTCTGAGTAAACCTGCACAGACTGGGCTTCAAAGGGGTTCACAGATTTCTTTAGTGTTCGGAATAAGTGTACCTCAGATATTCACTCAAACGTCTGAAGGTAGAAACAGCAGCTTAGTCTTGCAGAGACTTAGGGATTTAGCCAGCTAAGCAAGTTTGAAACACAGTGTTGATTTATTCCATCATTTATGCTTTAGAGACTGAGTATTGTTTTAGAAACTGACTAGTTTTTGAAAATTAAAAGGTGGGATATGGGGGTTTTCATTTATCATAGGAACAACCTGCAAACAGGCATATTCTAAACACCACCTGACACAAATACAAAAACACACACCTTCAACTGTCTCTTGATTTAGAGCCAATAACGTTTAGTTCAAATGCTATTGTAACTGCAGGCAATTCCTTAAATGGAACCTGTAGAATAGGCCACACACAGCCTCCTGGGCCACTCCATTTGGCCCACTGACCTCTCCTCCCATGCTGTGCCCACACTGCAGCACCATTTCCCCACTACTTGGTTGTTTCTGCCAACCAGCTAAGTAGTGAGGTGTGGCAGGTCATGAAACCCAAGTTCTCACCCCTGGTGCCCAAGTGATCAGTGATGGCTGAGTTGCAGGAAAGAGGGGGAACCGCTGCAGAGGCCTGCTGCTGAGGGAGAAATAAATCTCTCTATCGGAAGCCTGCTATGTTTCCATGTTGTGCCCTTAGAGAAAGACGCCTGTTTCGAAGCATGTAGTATGGAACACAAGCAAGCTGTCAATGGGGAAAGATATTTGACCCCGCCCACTACTGGCCTGTGGTTCCTCCAGATTCCCCCATGATGGAAAGTGGCTCTAGGGCTGGGAAAGGTTTACTACCCGTGATGTAGCATATTACCATGAAGAAAATGCAACCAGCAATCATCTGAAGTGTAAAAGAAATGTACCATTGCTGTGCCGTTGGCCAGAGAACCAAAAAAAGCTGGCTTGGCATAATAGTTAAGAGATTCTAGTTGCCCACAGTTCAAGTCTCAGCCCTGCCAAAACCTGTTGGGTATCCTTAGGTAATCTTAATTTAGCCTCCCATCTGAAATAGGAGGGGAATTATTAGCTTCTCTGAGGGCTACTGAGGATGACCAGGTTCACACATCATATTAAACTATGGTTTACTGTGAATGTGTAGTGTGCTCTTGCATGCTACTGAAGTTGCAGGCTTCCTGCTGGGAAACAAACTATGGCCTGGCTTGTCACCTTGTCCAAACCCAGGCTGATGGTTTGTTCACCCCAACCAAGCAGGAGTAGTAAAACGTAAGGACAAAATTTGTTTGGAGAGACACAAATCATGAGCCTGCACAGACAACCTATTATGGATGTGTTTTCAATAGAGCACCGTGCATAACTATACAACCTACTAATATAATTTGAGAGGCACCACACCCCATATTAACTTGCCAGATCTTTGTCATCATCTGCCAATACCCTTTGACATGCACCTCCTCAATCAAGGGACAGTCTTGGCATTCTTTGCAGTGATGCCCTGGTTGTGGAATGCTCTCCCTTAAGAATTTTGCCTGGCACCCACACTGCTATGATTTACTGATTTAACCAATAATATTGTAGTCACTTTAAAGTTTTATCTGCTATCTTGTTTTTGCACTTTAAAAAATATTTAATGCTGTACACCAGGGGTGGGCAGAAGGTAGACCAGAATTATCTGGTAGATCTCTGGGTGTTTGCAATAGATCAGCAAGGATTTTTGACTCCAACCTGTTTAACAATAACACAACAAAATAACCCCCTGGGGGAAAAACAACTTGGTAACTAGGAATAGATTTTTGAATGGAAAGATTGTGAGCTCAGCCTTACTTCTAATATTCAGAACAAATCCCTGTCCTCAACAGCTGCTTAGAGGCAATGTGTTCTCAATTCTAAGCTCATGTCTTTTACACCTTGCTCCAGTCGGTGGATCTCAGGGTTCCAGTAACACACAAAGTAGATCCTGCAAGCCTCAAGTCTGCCCTCCCCTGCTGTACAACACCCTGAAATCTGATACGATGAAGTGTGACATAAACATGTTTCGAAGAAAATATTCAATCTGGTATAAGCAGCTGGGAAAACTACAAATTTTAACAGAATATTAAGTGTATTAACATGTTTTTATACAATGGCTACAGAAAAAAGGGAGAGAGAGAGGAAGCAGGACTACTCCATCAGCTCTTCTATTTGAGTTCTATTTTTCTCCTCTCCCTGTTTCCATTCAAGCTGGTTTGACTGTTATAAAATAGTTGTTGTAAATTTAAGACTCGAGTTTGCTTATTTTCCCCTTCCTCTGTCATCGCATTTTCCTTTTGTGTTATGTCTTTTAGACTGTAAGCCTACATGTAGGAATTGTCTTTGTTACCGAGTTTATGTGAGCTCCATTCTTTACAGCCAAAAAGTGGGGACAAAAATGCTTTAAACAAACAAACAAATAGCTTGCTTACCTATCTCTTAAAAGAGCTTTGCAAAGTATTTTAAGTTTAAGATCATTTATGTCCACATCCTCATCCTTCATTCAAAGGAAAAAAAGAAAGAAAATAAATAAATATTAAATTGCATTGGAGATTTTAGAGAAACACACATTATGCATTGTGATTATATCCAAATTCAATAGTTCACAAGCTAAAAACATGACCAGAAGTAAGAAAAAGGGACAATTTTCAAGGGTATGGGCCAGAAAATAGCTTTTTGAAGTATGTCTAAAAATGGATTATGACTTGATGGGGAAAGGAGGGGAATCTACATTAAAAAAGACTTCATTTATGCCTTTTATTTATTAAAATATGCCTTTTATTCCAGCATAGCCAAGCATATAGAGACTTTGCACAAGAGTCTCTTAAGAACAAGAATAAAAAACGTTTTTCCTCTTGGCCACAGACAGAAATACCAGACTGGGAAAACTGTGGCAGGATGAAGAGGGCAAGCAAGAAGATGCAAAGCCATGTGCTTTCTAAACAAGAACAGATCAGAAAGAACAACGGGACCTTCAGAGAGGTTCTCAGTTTTGCATGAACCCACAATGTCCATACAGATATGTAATCATACATGTAAGCTCCTTTAAGGTGATCAGGATATTATTGTGCTTAGGGAAATGAGCAGACTTGGTCTGATGCCACAGAATGTGATACAGAGCACTTAACAGTTTGCAGTTCAGTTTTTGTGAGAGGGAAAGTGTCAATTTGGCTGGGATCAAGTTATACAGAATGGGTTAAAAATATTTTAATAGAAATATTAATAAAATAAAACCTAACACAGGGGCAGGCGGAGGACCGATAAGAGGTCTTGGGACATTGCCATATCATGAATCTAGATCCCGACAAGGTAATTATACCAGTTGGGGTAGCGACATCAATAACTAAAAAGAAGGTGGGTGGGAAATGATCAATTCCCATACTGATATGAACTGATATTTGACTGATGGCATCACTAAAACTGAGTCATAGTCTTCATTTTCAGTTTTTATGTTTTCACAGGTTTAGCCCTCCATTTTTAAAAAAGATGGCCAATAAGTCAAGCAGTTGGTATTAAATGGGACTTGAGTATTTTGGTAGCTGAGAAATAAGAGGTTTTGTTTATTTATTTTTTTACAGATGGGGGAGGGGACTTCAGTTAGACTGAAAAACATCCTGGTTCAGAGATCACCAAAACTCATTCATTTTCATACCTCATCAATATACTCCAGCAGATCGAGTGCCTTCTTGAAGTCATATTCATTAGCCCTTCTGTTCTCAGGGGATATGTACAACTATTGTATGAAAGATGGAAGGACAGCATTATTTTTAGCCTCCAAAACAGTGTAACTGATCTTGTTAAGAACTCCTTGTGGGAAGACCACCCTGGATTGTAACTCATGTGACTGTTGACTGAAATATGCCTTCATTCAGCTGTAGGCATTTTTATAGTAAGGAAGAGAGTCGGGGTTTTAGAAAGGCATTCCACCAATATTACAATGGACAGATTACACTGCCTATAAGGTTGCTATATGATAGGCTCAAATTTACAAACCATTTAAGGCTTTGGCATTCCTAGCCTATTGTGGTAGGAACATAGTTCCACAAATAAGTACTCTGTTATAGAAGAGCTCAGTGGCAAAGCATCTGTTTGGGCTGCAGGAGGCTCAGGGTCCAATCTCAGCATTTCCAGGCAGGGCTGGGAAAGACCTCTGTCTGAAAACAACACTGAGCTAGATGGACCGAGGATTCTAATTCAGTACAAGACAGCTTCCTATGTGCAAAAAATCAAATCAAATAAATCATCTGCAATATTCTGGAAATATAAATACCTGCAAAGGAGACATGCATATTTACTTTAATAGAGTAAGCCCTCAACTGACATGGGGGTTACGTTCTGGGAAACAACCTAAAGCCAAAATTGCTTATAATCACAAAACATTGGGTGCAATGGTGGGTGGGCTTGCCAAAGACTCCCCCCCCCGACACCTGTCCCCTTTCTATTTATTATTATTTGCCAAGAACATAAAGCTGGATGTACACAAGCTAAATGTCTGTAAGTTGTGGGACTATTTGAATTAAGATCCAGAAGTATGGTTGCAGTCACAAAAGTTAAGCTATGGTTCTGCACAATGAGCAGCTTTGTTCAGATTATAGCTGTTTCTTTAAAAAAAAAAAGTTCCTAAACTTGAATGACACCAGGATCAGAAAGGAAAGGCCTTGCTGATAGAAGAAATTAAAAGCTGGGTCTGGCAGTGATCCAGGCTAGAAGATTATTAGGGGGCATCAGAGCTGCCTGGCTTTAGCACAGCTGTTAAAGAAACCCCTCCTCCCTTTCTGCTTACAAAGACTTCTTCTGTAATACCATTGTAATGCCTAAACACCAAAACATTTGGACTCCTGTTTGCCTCCCAGGATGGACTTCGTGGAATGTGGAGGCAGAAAAGGAAAAAAGCCCTTATATATGTAATACTTTTACTAGGGGTTTTCATTCATAAAAACATATGCAGACAATTTGCCACACCTGTCTATCCTTCTGGTTTCCTTAATTCAAAGGACTAAAAAGTGTATTTACCAAGAAACTGTTTATAAGCTTAGCTCAATGGTGTCCCAGTCTCCGACTATCGTCAAAAAAGTGTAAGTGGATTTGATGAACATTCCTAGTCACAGATCTTGCCACAAAGCAAGCACAGGTTAGTGCTCTAATAACCCATGAACTGCGTGTATAATCAAAACCCACTGCATAAGGCATCTGGATAAGGTGGCAGAGGACAATGTCTATGGAAGAGTATAGCCAACTCATCTGAAACAGGATACGTTCCTGGTATTTGAGGCACAAAATAATTTAACCCAAACACCACCATTCGTCCAAGGAGCTGATACATGGATACAAGGATACATGGTTTGCTCCCCATTTTATCACAGCAAACGTATGAGGTATGTTAGCACTGAAGATTAACTCTTTTGACTCAAACCGCACAGCAGACTCCCTACCAAAATTTCCTGAATTTATTTTGATTGTGTTGGCGAGGTCACTAAGATTTGTAATACGAAGTAGTCAGGACAGACTCAGGGCAGCTTCATTGGGCTGTATCTAATAGTGACTCTGTGGCAGCAGAAAGCACTTCTACTCAAGAAAGGCAGGGCACTCAGTATCTATCACATGAACAGTATCTAACACACAAATTTTCTAGCCGTCCCTCCCTCCCTGGGGTGTGGAAGTTCCAGCACACAGGCCAATCTGGGCCTGCCAGGGGGTCCAATTTGAGCCAAGAGCCCATTTTCTCCAAACCATGCCCATCAACTGACATCACTGGTGATGTCAGCTGATAGACAGGACCTTCTTGGACAGCCCACCTCCACTGATTCCTTCAATCTCTAAAAAAAGCTCAGCCTTGCGCAGGGAGTGAAAGCTGCAGACAAGTTTTTACCTTCATTGCTGCACGATGGAGCAGTCCCTGCCAGAGCTGATGTCTGCTTTATGGAGACACTGGCTCTGAGAGACTGCTCCATCACACAGTGATGAAGAAAGACTGCTGCAAAGAGCACTGTAAGCACAAGTGATTTTGACCAGTGAGCGTGGCAATTCACCCATCAATTGTGATGCCACAGTGATGCCATGGGGCTGCCGAGTTGTCTGCTGGGGTCAGAGGATCAAAGCATGGCCCATTTTCATCCAGTCATTTTACCCAATATTATTCTGGAACACAAAACCGTGTTAGAGAAGTCTTTCGACAGAGTAGCTCAGAAATTCAATACCGGTAGGACACTTAGTAGTACATACCTCAATCAGCTGTGGAGCACTTAACACTGGCATTTCATTGAGATTTAATTTTTTCTCATCCAGCAGCTGCTCAGGTAGAGTCTCTTGGTGTAGCAGAAAGCGCTCTTGTTCAGTAATTTCTTGTATACAAGAAATAAAAAGCACAGCACAAATTACTATAATTCCTGAGTACAAAGAAAGTATAATTTACCTAATTATGAATATTCCATCACACTCAAGGTTTTCAGTGAGCCTGAAGACCAGTGACTCTACCTCTACCTGTAACCTGCCAGTATGTTTAGTAGACAGACAGACCACTTGCTACAAATCCCCTTCACTTCTTGGCAAAGAACTGGATGGCTAGTTGGAGGGAGGATTTTGACAAGAAGCTTTTATTTTCTGACCTCTAGCATAGAACATAAAGGCCACCACCACCACTCCTAAAAGCGGTGGGAAGTCTACCTACAAGATCCCAAAGGAGGGAATACTGTCCATGTATTCAGAAAGACTTGTAAATGACAGCTCTTGCCATGTGCTACCTCCCAAGTTATTGATAATCATGTTGAAAGCAGGCAGCAAAAATGACACGTTTTCATGATAGTGGACGTTGCTCCCCCCCCCCACATTTCTGCACCACAGTTCTATGGAAAATTCCTTAATATCCTAGTGATCATTCTCAAAATGGGCAGGTTGTTTAAAAAGCAATATACACATTATAGTTACATTACAAGGTGGTGTCATCTACTAGCTAAACATCAACACCCACTGAATTAACCCCTTACTTCAAGTGCTGCACACCTTACTGCAGCAACATCAGAAAGATGGAAAACTTTCACATTCCAACCACAACAGTAATTGTTCATAGATACAGTGGTACCTCGGGTTACATACTCTTCAGGTTACATACGCTTCAGGTTACAGACTCCACTAACCCAGAAATAGTACCTCGGGTTAAGAACTTTGCTTCAGGATGAGAGCAGAAATCGGGCTCCGGCGGCGCGGCAGCAGCAGGAGGCCCCATTAGCTAAAGTGGTGCTTCAGGTTAAGAACAGTTTCAGGTTAAGAACGGACCTCCGGAACGAATTAAGTACTTAACCCGAGGTACCACTGTACCTGTATTAATTTGTTGTGTGTGGCAGCCAAGAATTTCAGTGGGGAACGGACAAACTGCTTTGGAAACTAAAGCTATGTCATTGGTGTCTCAACCACCATACTGCTGGGATCACAACTGACCTTGAAGATCTAATAAATTAAGGGGTATCTCCATATACAGAAAACTTACTTTAAACTTTACAATGGAAAAAATAGTACCTTCAATTTTCTCATTCTGCATCACTTCTGATACATCAGAAGCCAGTAGAGACAGTTTACACAGGCCAAGAAGAGTTTTCTTCTTTGCAAAGTACCGAGTTTCTGTATTTGCTAAATTCTGCAGTGTTCGGTTAGCCTAACATTGACAAAAAATACTTTTAATATTTCAAGTGACACAAAGCTCAACATGTAAGTTTATTCACACACACACAACAGGGACATTAGTAATTTGCATAATGATTACATATTGTTATTATTTCATAAACATGTTCAAATTCTGATATGGCCAAGGAGAATTTTCTTCTACAGTGAACAATTTTATATAACTCTGGGAATAACAACATGCAAAAGGCAAGATAGGGAAGATGTTAAACAGTTGCACTACAGGAAACACATTAAAAGTCACTGAAAATAGAAATGGTATCAAAGCAAGTCTGTTATGAAGAAATGGTATTTTAGGAATACATCGATTTCAGGTAAATATTTCTATTATGTTTCTTCAAACAAAGCTCTAAAGAGAATTCACACCCCAGTATTGTAAATGGTGGTGACCATTTTAGGCACGTTCAATTGACATGCAATCACCAATGTGTGAGTCCTTTTGGACCAGGAAGAGGGCAGAATGGGGGTGTAATGGGGCAGGTTGATGCTCATTCCACTGGCTCTCATGGGGGCCAGGAGTAGAAACCCTGTACGAAATGGTTGCCTCCTGAAATTATAATGCTAAGAAAGAAGAGAAACTCACTAAAATAGTGACTGGATCTACCAGAATAAGAAAAGGGAAAAGAGGAAAGATATTACAAAAACAGTTGCTTGCTAAAATATCTGATTTTATAACTTGTCCAGTATTTAGGCTGGGAAGCTTTTTTTTATTATTAAAAAAAGTTAAGTTATATTTTGCACTTTTAACAAACAAAACAAAACAAAGACATTCATTTGTCTAACTTGGACCCAACAGCTTAATATTTACAAAGCTATCAGAATAACTTCAGTGAAGAAAGAAAACTGCAGAATGCTAGGTCACTTAAGTTCTAGAAATATTTGATGAGATTACAAATTACCTCTGTGTCAAGATTTCAAAGAACAGAATTGCCTCCTATGCATATTATGTTTACTTTACATGGGATAAGAGCCAGAGATACACAGGAACAGAATAAAACTCTGATAACAGTGTTGTTCTACAAACTGTTGTGGAAAAACTATTGGAAAACTCAGCACAACACAGCAGAAGGCAAAAGGATGTGCAATGCATTGTGCTAGCACACATTGTGGGAAGTGGTGCAGGTCTTCGTACAAGATACTGAACAAAGCCATGCACTATCAGAGGCACACTGCTGGATTTCAGTTTTCTTTTGTTGTGCATGTAACTTGCGCCAAGTCAGGAAAAGCTGTTCTGCTTGCAGAATCCCACTAAAATGGTAGGTGCAAATACACAGAGGTCTCCACTTGTTCCTTAGATTAACAAAGTGGGGTACCTGTGTACAGACAGTCACATTCCCTAGCTCTGCAAGGGGTGTCTACCGAGGACAGAGCAACTACCCATTACAAATACTTTGCTTTTTTTGTAAAGCCTTACCTTTTCAAAATCATTGCTGTTGATGTCGTGTAGCCAGCTGAGTTGCTCATGAGCTTGTAAGAAGCTGGCCAACTGGCCATGCTGAGCAATGGGCTGTGATAACAGCTTTCCCCGTTTTCCTTTTTCCAAATACCAACGGAAGAGGAAATCTGAAAAATTCTAAAAGTAGCAAGAATGCGGTCAAGCTTGCAAGACTGCAACTTGTGTTAAAAATAATAATCTAAAAATGTAAACATTTTTACCAAATGGGACAAGTTTTAACATTCCAGCATAGAAAATACTTATAAAAGTTCCATCACTTGTTTCGCACAAGTTTACATTTCAGGAACAGGTCATCAGTGAAGAAATAGCTGTTTACAATGGGGTCCCCTTCACCATTCCATATACCAAAGTTGACCGGATTGACAGATGAAACTTACTGCAACACATAAGTCATGGAGCACCCAGAGTTCTGTTCTCCAACAACTCAGTTCTCCCCTAGCATCTGTTGCCTGATGCAGCCACCTAATGGCTAAGCCTGGTTATTTTCTCTGTAACTTATGAGGCTCTTGGATAGTCACTATCTGTATGTGTAATAAGATAGCTGCTTAACAGAAAAAGAAATCTGTACTGACATAATTCTGAAAAATAACCCGACAGCAAGTCTGAGGTTTCTCCTACAATATACACTTACTTAACAGCCTGTTGTTTGGAGTAAATAAAGAACATTACCTGATCAGCAAACTGTGTCATGTAACGTTGCAATCTGGTCTGGTTATCAGTCTGCTCACACAATTGTACCAATATGTCAAAGTCACAGTATTTTTCTGCTAGAGCGGCAGCCAGCTGGTACTGTCCAAGAGAAACTGAACAAAAACAAACAAGGAAAAACGCCCACAATAAAAACATGGCCATTTTGTGAAGACTTTTTTTTTATTAAAAAAAAAAAAAAAGATCCACGAGTGTGGGTTTCAAGGGCATTTTGCCTCTAGATAATTGCTTTCAAAAACTATAAAGCAGTTAGAGCAATTTGCAAGGGGTATACTCCACATGCCATTAGAAAGATCATAGGCTCTATATGATTAAGTTGAAAGACTATGCTAGATCAAAGAGTCTTTTGTCAGTGGGGGGACAATTTGATTCAACCAATAGGATTTGGTTCCTGTGAGTGAAGGTGGGTACTGCATTCTCCCCAGCAACAAACAATGGAGTAGTAAGACAATACAATTTTTCTCCTACAGAAGAGCTGTGAGCCACCAGGGACCACCGTATTGCCCGCTGTGTTTCCCACCTGCATGGATGCAGGATCAAGACCTCAGTAAGCAGTGCTTGCTACTGGAGAATGGCTGGGAAGCAAGCCTGCAGTCAGACAAAACACACCATTTCTCCTGCCTGCAGTGGAGCCTGATAAGACAGATAAGGAACAACCTGGGGAGACACAGCTGTTGACAGGGGGGCTTCAAAGTTCCTTATAACTGAGGAGCAAGGGAAAAGTTAATGTTAGGGCAGAGGGGGCCTGACTGTAATTCCTGACAAGCCAAACTCTAGCATGGAGAAGATGCCAGGGAAGAACTCCTAAGCAAAGGACTAGGTTTTGACAATAATACAATCACACGTTCGTTCATTCATTAATAATTCATTGCAAATTATCTTCCCTTTAAGAAAAAGCAACTCAACATTCCCTAGAATCGAAAAACTAAGAACCAAACTGCACACTGTGAAATGTTGTTGAAATATTCTAATCCATTTTTGATTTGATATTACAAGTCTAAAAAGAAAACTCTGCTCTGAAAGCTAAAAATTGGCAAACATTACTGGAAAGAAGAAAAGAAAGGAGAAGAGCATTTCCTTATTCCCCTGCTTTCCTATACTCATGGCAGAGACTTAAATGGCACCCTGTATAATAACCACAGTACTTACGTAGTGGTGACAACAGTTCAGATCTTTTCTGCATGTATTCCATTTCCAGACTGTTATAGCGTTCTTGGTACTCTGGCCGGTCCACAGATTTAAGCTGAGAAACATAACCATCCAGAAAGCAATCTAGAAGTGCCACCAACTGTTCTGTCACTATGCTACGAAGCTTACTGTTAACCTGAGGATAGACCTTCTTCAGAATGATTTCATGTTGCTGTATTATAGCCGTTCGCACACCAACAGATGCTTGAGAAGACCGGAAAATGAAATATTAAGGCATTATTATATTTGGCATATAGAATTTGAAAAATGACATATGATAGCGTACCAAGGGGAAGTTAGACACAAGAGGCCATTAAAAAGTAAATGTATCTACTTTCCATAGCAAAGCAGCAACCCCCAGCCTAAGTCATTTAGTGGAACAACAGCACTGCACAGCAGAGAAAGAAAGGCATCCACATTAACAATCCTAGCAGAGTCAAGGCTATGGCTGAGAAGAAAAGGCAACTGCTTGAGCTCAGTGTCAGGTATGCCCTCATGCCTACCCTTCCCCTCATGAAATAATCTGAAAACTCTTGAAACAATAGGATAAAGTCCTGTTCTTTACACCAAAACCTAATACACAGGCTTCTTTCCTTTACAGCTTTAAAACCATTGTTTCTAAAAGTCTCTCAGGGTCACTGCCTGCATTACAAAATTCTCCATGGAAGGGATTTCCAAGCAAAATGTTACAGCCATCCGGTACATAGAGCACTGTGTTTGATGATACATGTGCACATGCATTGGAAAGCATTTGTTATAACTTCCATGTAGGCTCTTAATTCTATGATGTGCAAAACAACCTAAAACACGAGGGAATGTATCAGATATTTCCCCTGCAAAGCCACCTGTACTGGGATGTTGCTCGTAATTTTTACAAAAGTGTAGATTTCAAGTTATTGCAGGCAGAACTGTAAGTCTGTAATATGCTTAGGGCTTGTTCACAGGAACAAGTGTTGTACTGAGTAGGAGAGAGACTGTGCCTCAGGTTAACTCAGCTCTCATCTGTCCTTCCCTGTCTGATTTCTCCAGGAAGAAAAAAGGTGCAAATTTAAATTGTGGCTGAGAAATCACATTTATTTTGAAATGCCATTAAAAAAAAAACCAATCACAATTTAATTCAAGGAAGTTTTGACATCAGTTTCCAGGGCAACCATCTTAAATGTTAACAGCACTACTAGCCTCCTAATATTATCTGCACCAGTAAATAAATGCTTATGTTCAAATGCACAGATAGCAGTAATGGCCTTACATAAGCCATAATGATAAGCAGGCAAGCATGTTAGCCCAGACGTTCAGGAAAAATGTAACATTTATGTTCAAGAAAACCAGTGAGGTATTTATGAAACATGGCACTATTGAGTTAGAAATTTAAGATCAAGGGCAACAATTTGAAAGGCTAATAAAGTACTCTTCGGTGGATTTTATGTAGAAAGAGAAATACTGTGTTACAAAACCATTTATATAACATTTCCTCTATTCTCACCTGTCCATGGAACATATTCTGGTTCCATTTCGGGAGGCTCTCTTATTTTATATAAAGCAGCTTTGGACTGGCGGTCTTGGATAGCAGCTTGCAGCATATCCTAGAGAATATTGACACAGAAAACATAGGACGTTACCAAACATAGGATTTTTTGGGAGTGTCACCTATATATTAGCACTCAGCATTTTTAGTATTATTACATTTTATATTTCTGTATCCTGTATTATGATTCCAAGCCACACTGTATTTCCCCCTCCTTTATTCTGGGTAGTTTCCTATGGGTAGCGAGAATAACCAGTTATTTTACTGCTACTGCAATTTTCTGTTTTTATCTGATGGGAAGATATTTTGGGAAATCAACAATATTGTCATTCATTTTCATTTTACTGCAACATATAATCTAAAACTGTCCAACCTCCCACTTCTTATTAAAACCCTAAATTAGTGTATGATCCCCTTTTCAAATTTCATTTATTGGAACTGGAAGGATTTAAGCTATGAAATCAAATGGTGCTTTAAAACATTTAGCTGGGTGCATTACGTCCAGTTTCCTAGGTCACAGACTTTTTACCTTTACTTAATTTTTGAAATGTAATACCTTTATGATATTGTTGACATTGACGACTATTTCAGACCATTCCTCAGATTGAACTGACATATCCTTCAAGACTTGCTTTTCCTTTTCCAGTAAGCATTCAAAAATAGTATCTATCTGTGACACCTGAAAAACAGAAAAGAAGAAGGAACACTGACAATTAACACTCCTGATCAGGTATAAAAGCAATGATTCAGCCTGATATTTTATGCACTGAGCAGTTTAAGTGTTTCACTTAGCACATTAAGAGCGCAATCGTACACCCAACCAAACACCCTGATGCTGAAGGCTGGAGATACGATGATCTACTAGCTACCACAGGAAGCTACCACAGGCACTAGAAGCGCTAGCCTGGAGCTGGAAAAACAAAACCTCTCCTCCTGCCATGTGTGAGCAGCAAGGCTTCAGGTGTGGTGGTAGAGCATCTGCTCTCAGCTGGGAGCTTAAATTGCTCCGCGAATCTCATAAATGGCTTTTCTGTCATTTAATTTTCATTCTTAAAATGGATCCATAAGCATGGGAGATTTTCATCAGGCACTTTCCTAAAGGAAAAGTATTCATGTTCCCACCCCAGTCCCAAAGTATGGATCTAAAAGAAGAAATCTAGAATGTTACATGGATTCTCATGAATTTTATTAGGAAATGCTGTTCACACAGAAAACGATAGATGTGGTTGTAGATAAATTATTTCTTTATATCACCTCTCTGAAGAAAACATCTGCAGGAGTTAGACTTGACGGAACGTCGTCTTCTCTTTTAATCAAAGCAGTCTCTATTGCAGCATTGACCACATCTGGCAATCTGTAGTGATGGTTCTTGAGAGCAATGGCTGCCGCTAACTTTTCTGCATGTTCACAGAGTAACCACCGAGTTGCCATTGGTATGCCTCGTACTTGGAAATTGCCCAGGCGACCAAACAGACCCACCTTGGATAGAGATAATTGTACATAAAAATACTCTTGTGCCACATCCTATATTGCCACATTTACACAAGAACATTAGGAACCTACCTGATGAAGAAAGTCAATGAACAGAGAATGGGCCTTTGTCTTATTTTCCAGCTGATGAAGAAGAATGATAGAAGAATTTGGAAAACTAGCTGCTTTGGTACAAAAAAAGTGACAAGGAAAGGGGTTTAAAAGTTAGTATAACTTACAGTCTTACTTTCTTAAGGCTGTACAGTCAGAATGCCCATTTTAAACATGAGACTTCTCACCTTCAGGTACTGATTCAGCCCATCGTGGGTCAGATGTAGGATAATCATCCACCAAATTCTCACTAATTTGAAACACAGCTCTGTCTAGGTCTGCATCAGGGTATGCATCTCCATGCTGTGGAAAGAGCTCAGCGATGATGATTTGTGCACCTTTCATATTATTACTGAAATGAAAGGAAACACTTGGTTGAGTTGACTCTTAGAACAGAACACTGGTCCTCACTGGGAATGTTGCTTTTAACTGCACATCTGAGGGTGTCCAAGTGGGTCATAATCCCTCCAACTGCTTGTGATTGCATCCCTCTTGCTCATATTCAAGAAGGCCCCTTCTGCTTGCCCTTCAGTTCTGTTCTGTGGCTAAGCTACTGTACGCCGACATCAGGAATAAGGAAGAACATCCATAAAAGGACTGGGGCTGGGGAGGGGCAGAAGGAAACATAGCCAAGGCTACCTGTGTGTGCACTGAAGCTGGATGCTCAAGACCAAAAAAAACCTTCAGGTGATTGCTATGTGCAGACTTCAGGTGATTGCTAAGTGGGTGGCACTGGCACCTGCTAATGCTCAACTGGAAACTACATTCATAATAAAGACCATGGTTCTGGGCTACCTTGGGCATGGGATGCATCAAAACTGCTGTCTTGTGGGTGCGATCAGGTGGCTGCATGGTGAAATGGGAGCATGTGCCGCAGCACTCATCTTCCCCAAAGCAGCTACTACCGATGCAAGTAGGTCTAAGTTGTACGAAATGGTGTATGAAAGTGCTTGCTGAGGACCATGCAGCCACTTCTGGTGGGAAACCTGCCCTCAGGAGAACGCTCTGTTCAGTTTTCAAACAGTTAGCTAGAGTTGGGTGAGGCCTGGCTGCAATAGGGGTCTCTGTGAGAGTAGGTCTGGCTTGAGTGGCAGGAACTATGGTGGATACTCTACCAGCTAGAGAATTTTGGAAAACCAAGGCTGGCTGTGCCAGGAGAGAGCCACTAGGACTACCTAAACCCTGTCCAACTGAATTTTGTGAACAACGTGTGACAGTAGGGGAGTTGGAGGGCATGATGTTATGAGGGCATTCACAGCTTTTGCCCTCTGGATCAGGAAACCTTTTGACGTATCTCTTGGTCTGGTGGCTGGTCTCTAAGGCAAAGGGGTAATCTATCATGCTGTCAACTTTACACAGGCTGAGGGTAGGGTACATGCAATAGTGTTCTTCTATGAAAGTGCTTACTAGTGAGCTAATAGGGTCAGGAGATTCCTCTGCAGATGGTGCTGAGAAATCACAGAATCTGGGGTGGACTGACTATTAAAAACAACAACAACAACAACAACAACAACAACAACAACAACAACAACAACAACAACAAACTTTTGGGTTTCTCTTAAAGGATGGCCCTCAAGAGTACGAGAGGGTCCTAGATACTCTTAAAACTGCTTATTGGGAACTAGCTCTTTAGCTGTATCTGCCACAACAGCCTCTTCATTCTTGAGGACAAATTGGGTCCTCAATACAAAACAGGAAAAACTGCCGGGCAGGGCACTAGATGAGAGTTACCTAAGACCAATCAACTGGATCCACAGCAGCAGGTTGTAGATAGTGATGCTGTATTCAAAATATTGCCTCTTTCTTCAAGTTCTCTAAGTATTTCATGGTTATCTTCTGCCCTCTGGGGGACCACATCTGGTACTGCAGCACTACTGTGGGAGAATGATGTTGACATTGGATGGGGAACAGGCAGAAGCTGCCATAGGTGCTGTAAGGAGAGGAGCTGTGACTGTCTTTATTGGAGGGGTGCATGAAAGGAGACTAAAAACCCAGTCGCAGCTTCAGCTGGTAGTGCTCTATCTGCTTCCTGTGAACTTGTGCCGTGATGGAAAAGGAGGACGGTGGTGTAATTTGTCTTGTGGTTGAAGCAGGGGTCGGCAGTAATCATCTAACCACCGTGATATGCTTAATGCTGGGAGGTGGTTTTAAAAGAGAAGATTAGCACACTGAAGGAGGAACAAATGGATTCTGCTCCAAATGAAGGAAGACAAGAAACAAATTGAAGGGCCAGCAAAGGGAGAGGGCTGACAAGCAACAGGAGGGATTATAGACCACTTGGACAGAAAGGAGCACAAGATCTTTTGATAGTCTGCAGAACCCAATTGTTTGTTATCTGATAGAACATAAAGCCATCTATTTTTACAGATTTTGGAAGTGCACAAATGGCTGCAGGGAAGAGAGGAAGAAAACCCAGGGCATACCTATTTGTATTATGTTGGCTTTCATCCTCTATAAAAGGTAATGCTAAAATGTTAATATTTCTCTTCAGTTTTACAAACCCACAACGCTCCCAGAATGAAATATACTGTATATTAAACATGGCATAATTTTATACCTGCAAAACTGTAAGAAAGCAGATTTTAACATTTTGGTCTTATCCTCTTGCGCTATAATATCCATCCTGGAAGCATCAAATGCAATGCTCTAAAATAAAATTGAAAAAGAGAGAAAAATGTAAAGGGAGGAATAATGCTTCCACAAAAGTGTAGTTTGAAACGGTAAAAATGCTAACTTTGGAATAACTAAATTATCTAAGAAAATCCAGTGCAGGAATATACATCTTTACTGTTAAGACAATTAAGACAATGCTTTCTCTCCTTACCTCATCATTTGTCTCAGCTACAGAGGAGGCTAAAGAATCCTCAATATCTTCAGGAAGCATGGTAATGTTTTCCCTGGAATGTATGGCCACAAGCCCACTTTTTCTAGTGAAAAAAATTGGAAGTCCAGCACAGGAACCTGCTCCTAAAATTCTATCACCTAAGGTAGGAAATAAACACAACACAATACAACTTCAACACCATTAATGAATGTCAAACTGTGGGCTTAAGTCTGATTTGCTAAGCTATGTTATAAGCACAAGTTAAAAGGCTGTAAGGCCCGGTTTTCAGAGTTATCAAGTGAAAAAGTAACAAGACAGAGTTTATTATAAAGTTCCTATGCGTACAATAGGGGGACGTGGGTGGCGCTGTGGGTAAAACCATAGTGCCTAGGACTTGCCGATTGTATGGTCGGCGTTTCGAATCCCAGCGGCGGGGTGAGCTCCCGTCCTTCGGTCCCAGCTCCTGCCCACCTAGCAGTTCGAAAGCACTCCTAAGTGCAAGTAGATAAATAGGTACCGCTTTATAGCGGGAAGGTAAACAGCGTTCTGTGTGCTGCTCTGGTGTTGGCTCGCCAGAGCAGCGATGTCACATTGGCCACGTGACCCGGAAGTGTCTGCGGACGGTGCCGGCTCCCGGCCTCTAGAGTGAGATGAGCGCACAACCCTAGAGTCTGTCAAGACTGGCCCGTATGGGCAGGGGTACCTTTACCTTATGCCTACAATAATAACTCTACATAACACAATAGGGATTGTTCTTAAATCTGAGATTTCACTTTTAGGCCCGTAACTGCTTAAGTCATTGAGACTTCAATTCTATGCACACTTACCTGGAAGTAAGGCCACTGAGGGACTTACTTCTGAGTAGACATGTATAGGATTGTACTGTGAGTCAATGGCAAGATGAATAATCACTGCTATATCTATACCACTGCTATACCTATGACCATTTCCATAAAAAGTAAATACAGTAAATTTTAAAAGCATAATTGTTCTGGAGAGACACTATAAACACCCTCATTGGCTTATTAAGAGCTCCGGCTTCTTTAGGTTCTTACCTTGAATACTGAATATCATTTTCTCCTGGGGCAAAGAAATTCTTCCCGTTCCTGTTGAGCAAGCAAATACCTCCTCTTCTGTGTAAAGACAGGCAGCATGGCTGGAGAAATTTGGGACTACTAAACGACACATCAGTTCTTCAGGCTGAAATATGTTTCATTAAGGGTTAACACCGACATTTATAAAAGCATATTACCCTCAACCTGTTAGCATGACACCTATGCTTTTGTATGAAGCCTAACGGCTTGATCCCAAAGGGGCAGGGAAAACAGGCTGAAAGTGACACATTTGTGGTTGCCGTTGCCAACTCCACATAATTTTCCATAATAGTATAATATGTTTAGGTTGATATCCAGCTCTAGGCTGCTAACATAAGTGTTCATGTATAAAATAAATGGTTGTTGTTATTATTATTTTATACCCCCCTTAATGCAACAGGTGAACACAGTCAGCATGATGTATTTCCAGCAGTGTGTTTAGGATCAAGAGCTAATAGCTAATAATGCACAAAAACCCCTGTAATGCAAAAGGTCAATTACCTGAAATGGTGGATTATACTGGGTGACTTCCACAATAACATTATCACATGTGGGGTAACCATTATCCTCTACTGTTATTAAAGTATAGTAGATGAGGCATGGACTGTCACCAAGATGCCAGGCTGCAGCTAAAATCACCAATCCATCGCTATTTATTGGAAGACAAAAGAGATAAGAATTTGCCTTGCAAAACTGTGATCAGAAATACCAAGAAGCAAAACAAAGTTTACTAATTATCTGACAGCATTCACTTTGCTTTTCTTAGAAAATAGTATCTTAAGAATATGTACACATGCATCTTTTTACATGCTTCATGTAAGCAAATTCATTACATTAATATGCTAAGCCTTTGCATATTCCTTGGCTTTTGAAGAGAGGAGAAACCACAGCATTTCACAGAAGATCCCTGATTAAATTACAAAAATTGGCATCTTATTCTGGGTGGAGAACTTCTAAAACAAGGACAACTCATGCTAGACTTAAAGACCAAGAAGAAATTAAGTATTTTCTAAAATGTCAATTCTCATAACGGTTCTGCAGCTTGAAATAACTGACCTTGACACAAAAGGACAATGTATACACTAGTTCATAATAGGCTCCTCACTTTCTCATAAGAACTCACCGATTTTGTTGCAAATCCAAATACTGCACATTGACATCTCCTTTAATTTCTTCATAGTTGCTTTCAGAACCCTGTGCAAATAATAGTTATTAAACATGCTAGCAAGAAAGCAAATACTTGTTTTACATTCCAAATGTACTGCTTCTTACCCATATTGATTCCATGATGTTTTCTTTAAGTATTCTGTTTACATCCCAGCTGACAACTTGACGCTCTGTAGTATCATCTATTTCCCATTTGTAAAGATTTAAGCTGGTCAGAGCATAAAAACGTGAACCGTTTTTGTCCCAAAGAACACTAGAAAGCTGCATTAAACATAAATTATAGGGGATTAGTGTTTGATACAATAAAGTTCTCTATTTAAAGTTTTAAAGAATAAAACAGAACTATTTAATGCCACATTTCAAAAACTAAAAACAAGTTTCTCTGTGCTTTGCTGAGATTGGTCAGATTGGCTTTAGTGTTTCACAAATGTGAGAATTTCAAGCTAGATCAAAAACCAGTTCTGGAAGACACAAGCGCTAACTGATAAGACTAAAGTCCATCAGTATCATGGTCAGATATTGGATACTTTTTGTAATTCTATTACTTTTTAAAGCTGGTGTTGTAAGATGCTTCCCTCATATGAAAGAAACTAAAAAATCCAAATACAGCATTATAATTGAGTTTAAACTATTTTAAAGACTTACTGCTACATCATTGCTGGGAGACAAGATTCCCAGCAGAGAAGAAACTCTTCGGCCTATTCCAGAAAACATGCCTTGTCCTTGTGGTAGGCCATGCTGATAAATCTTGCCACTACTGTCTGGTGTCAGTCGAATAAAATGGCTCCTTGAAGATGATAAAATAAAGCTTCCACCCTAAAAGAAAAGAAACCCCAATTTAATCCTGCCAGCTTTTTGTTGCTACTGCATTATTATTCAGTTTTAAAAAAGAGAATCCAGACTTGCTAATCCAACTCAGAGCAACATTTTATTCTGTTTTACATATACACTGTGAGAAAAAAGCATTTCATCACTTATGGACAATGGTCAGTGACAGGACGCAATCCAGATTTCCCAGAGTTGTTGACAAATGCCCCATAAAATGTATGCTCACACTTAAGTTTCTATTTTACCTTTACAGCTGTTAGAAAACTGCAGAGAGCGCCTCCAAAGTCCGTATGGGTCTCAGTAAACGAGCTTTCATGCACAAAGCTGGGCCAATAGCGTATTAATCCTTCACAGGTGGCAACCATGATTGACAGAGACTTGCAAACACAGCAAATAAAAAAATGGTTATTCAGAATCTGAGCAACAAATTTACACCAGTTTCAAGCTTCTCATGTCATGGTTTCCAGACAAGCAGCTCTAGAAACTAATTGTGTGAAGGAACAAAAACTCATTTGTGAGGTTGTTGAAGAATGTAAAGTTATTTCAAGCTTTTTAAAATCTGTAGTGCAGTGTGCCATAAGATAAACAGGCTGATACAATTTATGCAGTACAATCTACAGGCTAATTTTCTATTTATTCATTCATAAGTAAATTGTAAATAAGATCCATTTGTAAACGTAATACTATCAGCTCTAGCAAATTGAACACTGGATTACATCATGAGTGTAATTTCTAAATGATGTCCAGTTATGTCGGTTTTCTGGAAATACTGAATTGAAAAACTTTCTTCTGCAAATCAGTGTAATTTGCATAGGAAATTTTTCAGTTTGCATTGCATGCCTAAGACAATAATTTAATTTACCATGTTCATTTTACTTGTATTTCATTTTTAAAGCTTTTTAAAAAAGCTTGAAACTGCAAAGTTTGCCAAATATTGTACTTGAAATTGGCATCCATTGATTGTTGCAAATGAACTTAAAATATGCTCCACATCACTTGTGATCCTGTAACAAAAGCTGCGATTCATTACTTTCCTAAATGATATTCCCAAAATAAATGTTAAGTTTCTCACCTGTAAAGAAGGTGCTTCACCAGAGGCATTAAGAGACGATATTGCCACTAAGCTTGAATTCCACAGATAGTCGCTAGGCGGTAACTGAAGTTCCTTACATGCAGACAACTGCAAAACACACACATCATTTTATGATGCTTCTTTTATGAGTTTCTTGAACAAAATAAAGTAGTCTATATTATCAGTTCAGTGTCTACTAAAGGCACTTTGGAAACAGCAATGGTGCAGAATTAACAGGAAGTGGAAATTTCTGCCACAGCTGAAATGCAGTTTTTGCATTCATGAGCTAGCACAAATGTTCTGTTTTGGATGCAATGGAAAAGCATGCGAAAAAGAAGCCACGTGCTTTGTACTTCCTCCTGCATCACCAACACATCAAAGCTGCACTATGGCTTAGTTCTTGTATACAGCATATGAGATGGCATATGAAATGTAGATTTGACTGTAAAAAGGTAAAGGTACCCCTGCCCGTACGGGCCAGTCTTGCCAGACTCTAGGGTTGTGCGCTCATCTCACTCTAGAGGCCGGGAGCCAGCACTGTCTGCAGACACTTCTGGGTCACGTGGCCAGCGTGACAAGCTGCATCTGGCGAGCCAGCGCAGCACACGGAACGCCGTTTACCTTCCCGCTGGTAAGCGGTCCCTATTTATCTACTTGCACCCGGGGGTGCTTTCGAACTGCTAGGTTGGCAGGCGCTGGGACCAAACGACGGGAGCGCACCCCGCGGTGGGGATTCGAACCGCTGACCATGCGATCGGCAAGTCCTAGTCGCTGAGGTTTTACCCACAGCGCCACCCGCGTCCCTAGATTTGACTGTACTCATGAGTAAATGGTTGAAAGCAGGAAATATCACCACTAGAGTATATTGCTAGTTTCTGACAAAACATTAGGGCTCCAATCCTAACCACATTTACCTGGAAGCTCCACTGAACTCAAAACAGTCTTTTGAGGCTACCTAAAAGACTAAGTGAGACAACAGAAAATAGGAAATTTATTAAGGCGAACACTAGTTTTTACTTTAGCAGAGATACCAACTCATGTAAGGTCTTAACTTTTTGCAGAGAGGACTTTAAATGCGGCAACACAGAAGTACCCTAAGTTGATGAGGCTCATAGCAATGTCACTGTTTTGAGGTTGCTCATTTGCTACGACACTTTATTTTGAAGATGTACATTACAACAAAAACCTACAATTCTATATTTGATGTACTATTATCTTACCTTAGCAACCGGAGATTGGCCAATCTTCCAAATAATCAGTCTGTCTCTGTAGACTAGCCAAGCCCATCCACTTTCATCTAGATGCACATTCAAATGGTCCTCAGCTACAAGAATGAACAAAGTTTTAAATTTATCATACCCGAGGCATAGCAGAATAAGATATCCAAGTGTATATTTGAAGCCCTATACATTTTATTGAATGGCACCTACTTTACCCAGTGTTGTTTGGGGATGTAGCCCACTTAAAACCGTTACCATTATGATGACTTGCTAGAACAGGTCCTTTACAGTTTGTGGGTAACGTTAAATAAAAAGCAACAATGCTAGCATATGACCCACATGTATTTAGGTGATTTTTACCCCACCTTTTGCAAAACAGTTCCAAAGAACTTTACAATAAACACTAATAATAAGTAAAAAAAAACCTCAGCATATAAAACAATAAACAAAGCTAATAAAATCAGCAGCTGAAATAAAAATAAAACAGCTGATTTTCAGTTTTCCAGCTCAATGAATGCTTCCTCTCACACATCACCTGGGTTTCTGTTCCATCCCCACAGTCAACTTGCATTTCGTGGCCATTGAGCAGTTCCCACTGAGCTCTTTTTGGGGTTTCCCGCCTTTCTTTCTAAATTTTTAATACCTACAAACCTCAGGGTTTCCCTGAGTTTGTTCTTCCGTTATGTGTGGGTGATGCCATTTTGGCAACAGAAGCAACAGCTTTCACAGCCTGAAAGTCAGAATTAGAGGGGTTGATGATGACTGTGTACCAGATAAATATGCCTGGGAAGGGAGTTCCATGACTTGGACATCACCACACTGGGGTGTGGCGAGGACCCTCTCTTTGGTGGCCTAAACTTTAAAGTAGGGGCATCTGAATAGAGACTTATGTGAAAGATCTTAACTGTGTGGGAGAAGTTATTATTCTGACTATCCAGACCATTTAGGGGTTTGATGGTCAAAACCAGGAACTGAATTTAGCCTGGAATCACACTAGCAATCAGTGAAGATCTTCCAACATTGGTGTATTATGGTCATGGTAGTCAGTCAGTTACCCCTCCGGCAATTATATTCTGAACCCATTGCTTCTGGATGTTTTTAAAAGGCAGCCCCATGTTCAGTGCATTACATTAACCTGCCATAGATGTTATCAGACAACTTTGGGCAGACCATTGGACAACTCTGGGCAGACTATTTCTCTCCAGGCAGAGTGAAGCTTGCACACTGACTGAAGTTGGAAAAGGCATGACATATTTCTGAAGCCATCTGCACAATGATGGATCTAACACCCCCCTCAAACTTTGATTCCCCCCCCCCTTAAGTGGGAGTGTAAACCCATCTAAGGCAGGCTAAATTTCACATCTTTGGTTTGTTAAGCCATTACCCCATTCCATCAATTCCTTGTCTGGAATAAGCAGTATCTCATGTATGAGTACAAGCGCTAATTTGCATATTTATATTTCAAACTTAACTGCATGCTGACTGAAACATTTATCTAGTCTAAGAACATTAGAAGGAATTAAACTACTTACCATCAGCCATTCTCAATGCCTCCATAACCTTTACTGGCAGAGGTGAACCAAAGCTTTTCACGTCATAGTTGATGGTTTCACTTCCTGATGGATGATGTACAACTTTTGTGGGTGTACCTCTAAGCAAAAAAATGTATGCAATGTCATAAACATTTCCAATATTTCAGTTTCAATTGAGTAAATTGCATTAATCCAATACCATGTTATGTTTTTCATTTTCTTGTAATTGTTTGAACAAATGTGTACCTTTTTTAAGCTATTCAACCAAATGTTTCTTCAGTTTATAGAAGCTTTCACATTTTACTTCACTTCTGCATTGTTTCTGTTGTGCAAGGGAGTGGTGCCTGCTGCCTTGAAAAAGATGGTGGCGCAACCACTCCTAAAGAAACTGGCCTCGGACCCCATGGATTGGAATAGCTACTAAACAGTCACAAAAGCTGGCTCCTTGGGGCAGGTAATGAAGAAAGCTGTGGTGGCGCACCTGCAGGCATTCTTGGATGACAGATTATTTAGATCCATTCCAATCTATTTCCAGGCATGGTCATGATACAAGAGTTGGCCTTGTTTACCCCCCCCCCAAATAGATAATCTTCAGAGAGCGGAACAGCAAGAGTGCAACCTGCTTCCTGCCCTCTCTGTGGCATCTGATACCATTGACCATGGCAGCCTCCTGAACTGGCTCTGTGGCGTGGGAACCAGGGGCACTATGCCACAGCAGTTCTTGTCCTACTTTCTGGACCATGAATAGAATTGGGAGAGGGCTTTTCAGCCCTCTGGCAGTTATGGTAGAGTGTACTGCAGTTTATCCCCAATGAAATTTAATAGAGGGCAGTTATATGACACTTGAGCATTCGTCTTGCTTCCATCCCAATTTGTTTATATCTCTTCCCATCAAGTCATTTGTTCATCCCACAATTTGCAGTGAATTACCTCTTCACTGGCACAAAGTCAAGTTCTTTTTTAACAGTGGATTTGCTGCCCTAGGGCGACACAGCTTTTTATTCCACCTTCAGCTCAGCAAACCTAGTCCCGGGATGCCCTTAAATCCCTCCCGCAAAACAGCGACGGCCTGGAGGCGCCCTTCAAGAGGAAAGCCAACGCGCGAGACGGGCAGCTGATGTCCTGACCAGGGAAGGGAAGGCTCCCTACCGCGGCCGGGCTGCCGGGCAGAGCAGGGCGGGCCCGGCCCCCTCACTCACCGCGCAGACAGAGAACTGACGCTCCTCCTGGCCACCGGCGAGAACAAAGCCGGGGAACTGAGGGACGAGGTCGCGAAGGCCTGCTGGCCCTTCCGGCTTCCACTCCGGAGGCCTCTCCGGCCCGACCCGCCGCCCGCCGCCGTGTGAGGCGAGCCGGGGGTTGAAGGGAACATCGCAAGCTCAGCGAGAAGAGCCCGAAGGCTTCGCAAAACACAGCAGCGGCGGCGGCAGCGGCACTCAGGAAACTCGCGCGCTGCGGGCGCCCCCGTTTGACGTGCCGGCTTGCTGGCGCGTCGGATTTGCGTCACCCATGCCCCACCACGAAGGGGATTGGCTGAAGAGCCCTTTTTTCTGTCGCGTTAGAAAGGCGGGAAGTTCCGTTATTTACGTATGGGAGAGCGCGGAGGGAGGAATCACGTGGTTAGTATGAAAAGCGTTTATTCGCGGGCGGGGACTCGAGAATATTTTTGAACGCCCGTTCTCTCAGTGATGTGCTTATCACTTTCTTTAACAGTTTTATGCCCCGCATCTTCCTTCTAAGACTTAAGTTTGCATGGCAAGTAGCAAGACAAATCAGAGGAATGTGGGTGCATTTAGCGGGTGGGGGTTGAAACGGATAATTTAAATCTATTTTAGTATTTTAACTTGTGTATGTTAAATACTGTTAAAAAGTATAGTTGTGACCCCCCCCCGATTTTACTGTATTCATTTTACAATCAGAATTTATTAAATAAATAAATAATAAGGAAAAGTTAAAAGATTGCAGAAGAGGGAAGACAAAAGAATCAAGGAAGAAGGGGTGAAGAAAAGTTGGTGAGAGAGGTAGCAGATTCACTCTAGAATAGCATTGTAAGGGCCTGTGCTAGTTCCTCTGTGTTTTCTTTTTAAAATAAAAGCACTCCTAATTTGACATTCTGGATAAAACTGCAAATTATGGAAGACATTGTGATGTTATCCAAAAAATGGCATTTCTCTATTGGATTCACTCCCATAGCATGTTGTATCACATCCTGCACCCTGTAATGTCATAATGTTCTGGGTTTGCTTAATGGAAGAAAGTGATGTGGAGCTGGGGTAGAGCCACGCAAGTCTTTGGCAGCCCCTTGGAAATGTGTAGTTCTGCCCTGAGGAGGATATAAATAAGCAATAAAAATAATGATCCAAAAATGCATGGTATCATTAAAAAGCAAGGTAAGTTACATAAAACCACAGCTCATGGTTTATCAATGTATTTTAATCCATAATAGAAAATATTACTGACAAGCAGATAGTGTTGAAAAATAAATATCAAAGAATGTAGAAAAAACCTTATTTTTACTTGAAGTCAGGTATACAGAAAATAGACATACATGTTTTAGACTCTAAACTGTCAAATGCTTTACTTAATTATAAAACTGTTACATCCAGAGACCCCTGAATTACAGATAGTAATAGCTATATAGTTGTTTGCAATTGTAGGAGTCTGTGCTCTTGTACTCCATTGTTAAAACCTGCATGAAATGAACTTTGAAGTTACAAAACCAGTAAGCAACTTCATACAATGCACACTACTAAGTTAAGGACATTTGAAGGTAAACCATTTAGAAGTTGGTGTAGTCATTATGAAACATTGCAGCAGCCTATGTACAATAGCTTGTCATTTAGATCCCCCTGATTTTGAATATAGTAATAATAGTAAGATTTGCACCCATAAAAAATTAAATAATTTGTAGTTTGCCGATTTGAAATTGACATCATTATTCGCTCCTTGCAGTATTTCAATTTGTGAGAATTAATTGCTATTTATATGCCAATGTACTAAAGACATTGTGAGACTTCTATATTGTCCTAATAAGCACTGTTGGATTTTATAGTGTTATTTGCAAACTGCAATATAAAATCATCTCAAGAACTCAAATACAGAAAAAGGTCATGGCTTGTCTCAGAGATACCTGTGCAAATGCATGTTATGTGAAGTACTTGTATCCATGTTCAAAAGCAGATAACCATGGCTTCTAAATATGGTTTGATTTCCCCATTCCTTTCACATAGGGCAAAATGCTACATTATACATGAAATCGAGTTCTAGATCATCTCATTTTCCTCTTACAGACAGTAGGAGGCACTGTACGTTTGTACATACATGTGAAAAACTATTAGACAGGCACACACTGCTGTAGATGACAATCCCAACTACTGGGTTATAACAAAACTAACCCACAGCAAGTTTGTGGTGCAGGCCCTGGAGAAGACACCACAAGTGCTGTTCTGAGGGAATAATGTTTCCGATAAAGCTGAATAAGGTGCAAAAATATATGGAGATAGAAACTTTTATAGGTGCTGAGCTAGTCCTGGGTGCCCTTCATTATCTCCCCTACCATGTCTGTTCCCAACATGGAAATGAAATGGCATCTGTTTAATATAGAAAGAGGACTTTTCGATTTTAAACTTGCTTTGTTCATATGTACAGTTCTGAGAGGTCCACTTCGGATGAAGGAAGAAAATGGACTGAGTGAGGACACGAAGTAGCTGCATAGTTCTCAACTCTGAACATTTCCTGCCTTGGACACTAGGTGACAATGAACTCATGTGATGACTTGACATCCATCTAAATCAGTGGTCAGCAAACTTTTCCAGCAGGGGGCTAATCCACTGTCCCTTAGAACTTGTGGGGGGCCGGACTATATTTTTTTGGGGGGGGGAATTAACGAATTCCTATGCCCCACAAATAACCCAGAGATGCATTTTAAATAAAAGCACACATTCTACTCATGTAAAAACACCAGGCAGGCCCCACACATAACCCAGAGATGCATTTTAAATAAAAGGACACATTCTACTCATATAAAAACATGCTGATTCCCGGACCGTCTGTGGGGCGGATTTAGAAGGCGACTGGGCCAGATCCAGCCCCTGGGCCTTAGTTTGCCTACCCATGATCTAAATCACCTTTCAGGTGAGACCAACAATTTGGTTCCCATAAGATTTTTTGAAACAAGCAAGACAATTCCTATGAAAAAGAAGCAAACCATTACTGTAGGATCAGTAAGAATGGGGACAGTATTTGGTATGAAAGCTGGACACAGAGCTCACTTATCAGCAGTTAAAAGAGAAGCATTGCAACATGGTAACCTGTAACATTAAATCCATGAGAAGTTCTTGAAAAACTTCCCTGCTGTCATGTTACAGATGTATATGTTATGAAATGCTCTAACAAGAATAAATATCTCATTTTGAAGAAGCTTTAAAATATTGTGTAGCTGATCAGAAAGGCAGCAGTTCCAAATACATTTACTTACAAGCTATTCTACAAAGCTGTAGTAGAATTCGCTTTCAATATTACGTAGAACTTTGTCAAAGGCTCTTATATTAGACTAAAGGTTTGTTAAAAATGCTTCTTTTCAAAAGTTGAAATATGCACCAATACATTAAGTTCTAAACCAAGAAGTGAGTTAACTGACAGTTCAATTATATTTCACCAGTGTGTGATGTATACAATTTTATGTAATCTGATAAAATTTGCAAAGTTAGAAAGAGGACTGTTTGCTAGTATTTTAATAATAAATACAGTTAAAAATCAAAGAAGTAAATTCCTATGCTTTTGTTTATTTTTTTGGTAGTTTTTAGAATGCATAGTATTATTAATTTTGTTCTCTTTACTCTGACAATCTAAGGCTGCAAGCCTAATCCCATTTACCTGGGAATAAGCCCCATTGAATTCAATAAGGTTTACAACTGAGTAAATATAGTTTTCCTCATGAAAGTTTCCAATATTTAACACACACCTAAGCATAAACATGTTTGCTAAGTTATACCCATTTTATATTTCATGACATATTTCCAGTTTTGATTCAATATAATAGATGGTGGGTAATAGTAAAGTGGCTATGACTGCAATCCCATGCACAGTAAACTGTTTTTTTTATTTATTTATTTATACAGTTTTATTCTGTGTGACTTAAACATATATTTATAAACATGAACAAATGAAGCTGCCTTATATGAAATGAGCCTACACTAAGATACTTTTGAGCCAAGTGAATACTCTTCGCACCCCAGACTTTTTTGGTGCCAGGTGAATGCTTCCCTGCCCTGGACTATTTTGAATGTGTTTTTTTTTATGGGGGTGGGGCACTTTGGAACAGATAATGTATACTGGGTTTTAAATGCTGCTTGTTCTGCTTTTTAAGCAAGTGACAGAATGATTTTTAGGGTGCAATCCTAAAGTGGAGAAGAGATTACAAAGGCAGTTTAAAATGTCATCCAGGGTCCTGTTGGCATCAGGACAGAATTGAAGACAGAGGAAGGTTCTTTATTCCTAATCAGTTACTAGCCTCAGGATTTAATTAAAAAAAATTATCCAATTGGGAAGAATGAAAGTTTTAGATACACTCAAGAACATGTCTAAATCCTGTCAGCAGTTCTAGCCAGGATGACCAATGGCTAGGGATGACAGGAGTTTTAGGCCAACAACATATGGAAAGCCACAAGTCCCCCATCTCTGTCATAGGTCTCTGTCTTCCAGCCCAACTAGTAGCAGCTTTTCTATGATTCCCCCTTCAGCTTCCTGTGCTACATCTTATGCTATACCAGAGGGTTCTCCAACTTCCCGGGACAAATTTGGAGGATGCAAGGGTCAATGGTGGGAACAGGGAACTGGTGAAACTTTCCCTCTGCTCTGATCCACTTTGTTCAATGAATGGATCTCTGTTTCCAACCCCATAACTTTAAAAAAAAATCAGAACTAAATGTCGTTTTAATTTCCAACAATGGAAAAATCTGTGTGCTGCCATATCTTAAAACCAATGAACATCCATATGATAGTCATCAATCAAAATACAAAGAATTTACAACCTGAAAACAGCTCAGTATTGGGTATCTTCAGAATATAGTTAGTAGTTCTGAATAAAAAGTTTAGCACAATCAAGTTTTAAAATATTTAAAACACGCTGAAAAAATATATATAACATTTATTGTACATAAACAAACATAATTTAAAATTCTTGGAAATGTGATACATTTCGATACTCTTTCATAATTTTAAAAAATATTTTTCTTTCAGGATTTCACATTTAATGCAAAACTTTCAGGAGTTTGGATAAAAGACTGTTTCTTCATTAGTTTGCTGAAAAGTCCATCTGGATTTGCAAGCAGTGTTTCGTGCTTTCCACACTCAATAATTCTACCTTGGTCAAGAACTGCAACAGAATTAGCATTCTGAATGGTGGACAG